ATGCCGGCGGCCGCCCGTCAGAATCGCATGACAATTGACTATGAAAATGTGACGTTTGTGTTTGACAGTCAGCACTGCCAAAATTAAAATTTTAAAATGAAATAGACACTAAATGTGAGTTTCGATAATAAAACAATGTTTTGTCTTAATAAATTTTGGTGGAGGTGCCGGGTAAACCCCAATAATTAAAATTCTAGTGCAAAAGTACCCGCTTTTTTATCTTTTAAACTTGAAGACTTGCGTATTTAATTTGTGTTTAAAATATTTAACCTGTAGTACAATAATAAATCTTAATCATCTACTGATAAAGTGTATGAGATTAGAATCAAAAATAAATTTTATAAATACCAATAATTTTCATATACGTCAAGCCCTAAAATAAACATTTACACAATTGTGTATCGATAAAGATCTAAAAAAATCAAAAATCACCTTTGTTGTCAAGTGAAAAGACTAAATTTTATCAGTGGTTTTGGGCAGTTTGAACTAATTGTATCGGTGCCAAAATCTAGAGTCTTGTGACTTAACCTCAAAATGGCTGAGTTTGCTATTACCTAGCAACTGATCATAAGAATTTGACACGACTTTTATATCTAATAATTTTTTTATTAAAATTTGGATTAAGTAAATGACGTCATTAAAAAATGTGTTTCCTTAAAGTGCTTTAATCTGTTATAAAGAGGATTAGTAATTCACGTAGAGGTTGCATGATTTTTGTGTAAGATAAAAAAAATCAATGAAAGCAAGCAAATAATAAACCCACTTCAGGAACGTGAAAATCCTCACATAAACCGGTACCTTGGGGGTGAAATGGGCGTGTCTCTGGGGGTAGAAAGGCGTGTCATAGTATCAGCCCCCACTCCAACCGCTTTGTTTTCTCACATCGTAGCCGGAAATGTGGTGGCTTGAACCATCATTGTTCTTGCCAAGATAATATTGGGATAACATTTCCAGATAGCAACTCCTAGTGTCGTGTCTTCGATAAAATGTGATAAAAATCATTGTGTTTGTTTTTCAAAGCGATAAAAATATTTGCAGTGGAGTTTAGTGTTGAAATAAAATTAATTTAAATGATGATTTAGTGCGTGTTGAAACAGTAAATGTTGATGATGGACGATGGTTGTCGCCATTTATTGGCGGTGTCGGACAGCCCTCTCGACCTCCGGGGCTCCACCACCGACCAAAAAACCCCCGAAAAAGACACCAAGAAAAGCGGCCACCAACTCATCAAGCCCCCTTACTCCTACATCGCACTCATCACAATGGCAATCCTGCAATCGCCCCAAAAGAAGCTCACTTTAAGCGGAATTTGTGAGTTTATCATGACCAGATTCCAGTATTATCGCGAGAAATTCCCAGCTTGGCAAAACTCAATCCGACACAATTTATCCCTCAATGATTGCTTTATTAAAATACCACGCGAGCCGGGGAATCCCGGAAAAGGCAACTACTGGACTCTGGACCCCCTGGCCGAAGACATGTTCGATAATGGGAGTTTCCTGCGACGGAGGAAACGCTACAAGAGACCATCACCCAATATTATGCTCCGGGATCATCATGCGTCGGCGATGGTCGCTTCCTTTCTCACCCAGGAAAACTACCAACCACTTTTCAGTCCCAATTTGCACAATCCCTACTGGATTCCGCCCATGTTGCCGCCGATGGATCTGTCCAGGTTGAATTTGGGATTAGGGATTATGGGACCGGGGATTTGTAAACCGGTTCCGGTTCATACGGAAGACTTGATCACGAGCGAAACTAAGAAGAGTAAAAATGGGTTTTCCATCGATTCTATTATTGGAAATAAACATCAGAAAAAGGACAATTCGGATATTTCCATTCATAATCATCAAGTTTCAGCGTTTTCACCCTTGGCCGATGATTGGACCAGGTGAAATGCCATCGAGAAGATTTTTTCCCGAATTTAGACCAAAGATTTAGTTAATGTGATTTTCATGTTGCAATATTTATTATTATTATTATTAGTCTTTTCGGTTCTTAGGAAGGTACTTTTCATTATCAATAGCTATCAATTATACTATGTATAGATTTATTAATAAAACTTAAAATAAGTTTCATGTATTTGTGTATTGTGTACATAATGCAGTAGAATTGTACAAAAAATGTTCTAGTTTACGTTTTTGTTATTAGTCATTATTTTTACTACCCAAAGATTATATCACATTATCTCAGAATTGCTGTTTGTCATGAAAAATTTTGCTGTCTCACTAACAACAACTCAAATGTTTTGTAACTTATGTAAATAGTTAAATGAGAAAATTCATTTGTAGCACATAGATAAGGCGAGATTTCAAATTAAAATAAAATTCATAATTTAACACAGTTTTATTTCACCCCATTCCTTTAAAAAATAAACAAAACACGATTTATTGTTGCCAAGCAATGGCAATTTTTGGTATTCGTTGCTAAATAACAAAGTTTACTTAGAGTTGCTACGCAATTAAGCACTTTTAGCACATACAGGGTGAACAAAAAGTATGAAACCAAGCATTTTTTAAATTATTTACCTTCAGAAAGTAATTATTAAAAATGAAATTTTGTTTTGGTTTTGAGTAAAAAATTATACAAAAATTGAATAACATGTAGATAGTTGACTTTGGAATTAGTTGTACAATTTTTAGGAATTTAACTGAAATTGCTTGGTTTTATTAAAATTATGTTGGGTTTGTTTGGAATTACTGGAATTATTTGTAAACTCCTGGAATTTTCTAGAATTGCTGGATTTTTTTTTGAAAATTTTATTTAATTTGGAATTAATTGAGGAAAGATTTTACACATTTTTTTCAGGATAACGGCCGTTCAAATAATGTCAAAATTAACTCGTAAGCAAAGAATGTAAAAAAAATAAAAAAAAGTTTAAAGTAAAAACGTAAGCATATAAAAAAATAAAGAACTTAAGAACGCAAAAATGTAAATATTACGTAACAGTATCAAAGTAGAAAAAGCATAGTTTTCCTCTCGTGGTCCAGAAGTCTGGAAACGATTTTATTCTGGCGAAAAAAAGTTTATAATTTTTTTAACATAAATTGTAACATTTTCAATAAATATTTTTGTACATTTATAAAATGCATAAACATATCTTTGTAAAACAATAAATAAAAACAGTTTTTATTTAAGAAAAAAATTATTAGTAT